GTCATGCCTTGCAAAATCTAATTTGTCTGAAAGATAACGTTGGCTGTTAAATATTTCACCAGTAATTAGCGGAAACTCTTCTGATTTTAAATAATTGTTTTATAGTCTTTAAAAGCCAACTGATGATCTGTTCACAGATAATATTTTTGTGCCAATCTGTTGTATACAAGCATCACACTGCATTGTTAATGTACTGCTTATACTTTCTATGCAGCTAATCCCTTATCGTACACTCTATATCTATAACAGCCTATTTCCACATGACGGACTCTATGAATATCTGAAGTTCTCACTAACAGAGTTGTTTCTGGTATTATTAATCCCCCACAATGGAAAGCGGTGTCCCTGACGTAACATCTGGCATCCATAAGGGTAACTCACCCTGTGAGACAGTTAATACAGCAACATGTGGGAGACATTAGGAACTACGTCAACTCTCTGAGATGTTTCTGACTTGATTTGGGTCGAAGTGTTGACCTTGTATGCTGTAAAACCAAAGCAACTGGGTCGATAATGCTGTGCTTAATTCCCAATATTACTCCCCTGATGCCATCATCTTTAACCTGTGATCTGCTGGAGGAGCCTGTAAAAAGGTGATCAGTAATAAAATGTATCCCCTTCATCGTGTCAGTTTTATAGTGTGGACTGGAAGAATGCTGGGTTTTGTAGAAAATGGGTTAATGGCTGCAGTTGGGCTGTTGTTGGTTATACCTTGACATACATCCCTTGAGGTCTCCTCTCTGTCACCTTGATTGCATTCACGTAATGGCCAACTCCCAGTTCTTCACAGAACAGTCAGATTGCCCAATATATAGTTAGTGGCAGATTATCTTCAGGCATGTACCTTTGTGTCTTCTGCATCCTTTTTAAGTTCCCAAAAAATGGTATAAAATTCATTTCAGTACAGCGTTGCGTGACGGAATAAATGTCAGTCAAAGTACCGCAGCGCTGAACACTGAAAAATGGCCTGGCCAGGTAGGGGATCTAAACATCTGGTCTTCAAGCAGTTAAAGAAGGAGCACACCTCTCAGTTTCTCATTGCATTTTGAGGGCTTGCTATAAAATCCCTGTTTAACACAAATACAATTCAGCAAAAAAAAAATTTGTGTTAATTTTTCTTGCATTACTTTTATGCTAATCTGAATGTTACCAGCTGGAGCTGGTTATGCCTAATCGAGCTTTAAACCACAATGTCGTCTTTTCATTTGTGCTGTACTACCTTCTACGTCTTACTGTCAGATATTTTTGAATAAAGTAAAATTAAACTTTTTTTTTTTGCATATATCGACTGCTAGCAAGCAGTAGATATATGCAAAAACATAAAAAAGTTACCAAAAAGGTTATTATTTACCTTTGTCTCCGCCGCTTGCTCCCGTCCAAAGGTCTAAAGATTCTCGAGTGGCCAAGCCGCATGATGGGCTGGGCGCATGCGCAGTACAGATCTTCGGCAGGGAGAAGAGGAGAGACTCACTGTAAGTCAATGCACACAGCTGTGAGCATGCACGCCAGACAGAAACTGGACAGGACAGGAAGAGACAGGAGTCTGCGGTGGATTAGAGACCAGCACCAGCGCAGGAGGGACTCCTGAATACAAGTGGAAGGAAGATGATGATTGGATGGCATGGGGGGGAGAAAAATATTTGTGACTTTAATATCACTTTAAGGTTAGGTTTCAAACAGTTTAAGTTTACAATGAGAGAAAAATATTTTTCTTTGCACTGTGCACTGTTATGGCATGCACCAGTGTTGTTGAAAAGTGAACTTATCAGACAGTGCCAGAGTAGCCATGCCATTAGAAACTTTTGACATCTTGAGTGGCAGCCTTTTTTGATTTTATGATTAAGCCCAGGTGGTGAAGCGCGTGACAGGTGCTGGCATGGTGTGAGAGATGCTTATAGTGATGTACATGTTGTTCATTGTTCTCTTGGATTTACTTACTTTTTTGGAATCTGTTTGGATTTTTTCAATAAACTTTTGGATTGCACTCATTCTGGTTTTGTGCGGCTGATCTTTTGAGGATTCGTTTGAACAAGTGGGAAGCACACTATAGCCTGCACCCAGAATGTGAACTGATCACAGTGGAACTTAGAATTGAGCGGTGAGTCTATGGGGCTTCATATAAGCCACTTGGAAATTCGCAGCCTTTTTTTCTGCTAACTTTGCAGTGCTTTGAATTTCTCCTATCAGAGGATCATCTATCTATCTTTCCTATCAGATGAGAGAAATGCATATTTTATTTTAGTAACATAAATGTACCA